GTGCAGCGAAGGAGAAAGCAGACTTCAGGGAGACATACATACCACACAGTTTGGAGGAAGTCAGGCTGCTTATCTTCTCATCTAAAGTAATTTTGTTGCAGTAACTCAACTGCTTTGCTGATGTACAGTGCTGTGCAAAACTTGAACTTCCCTGATGTTTTGTGAACCTTCAGCGTTCTCCTCAACTGGATCATTTCGGATACAATGTGGAGTCACTCAGAGCTCTGGTTTAGGACCAATCCTGATCCTGCTTTACACACTTCCTTTTCAGAAATAATAAAAAAAATTCAACATCTCAATTAACGTCCAGTCATAATCACAAAAAATACTGGACTGTTAGTCAGATATTAATAAAAGTAAATTCTGTTTAGTCATGTTTAGTTGTTGCTAGTGACACCATTACTTCAGAATCCTCTCTTAGAAACAACATAGGTTGTTTGATCGACCTATGTTTCCATGTGGTTTCTTTTACTTTAGATTTTTTTTTTTTGTACAGTAAGAATCTTGGCATCAAAACAAGAGATTATCATCCATGCTTTTATTTATTCTCATTTAGATTACTGTAACACATGCTAACCTCTCTAAATAGAAAGGCTCTTGATCGTCTCCAGATGGTGCAAACTACTCTATGCCAATGCTCCTCACTGGAAATAATATAAGAACATACCTGGCTCATGACCTGCTCTCCACTGATTACCTGTCAATTTTGGAATTAATGTAAAAATCTCAGTTTGAACTTTTGGGGAAACCAGACGCTGCTGTTTGTCTGTTGCTCTGACTCATTTTAAAAGCTATGGATATTGCTCCTGTTAAGCAGCAACATTTCAAATGGCGAATACTCTGCTTTACACCGCATTGACAATGTTGATTCTATAAAAAAATCCCCAAAGTTTTCTTCATTTGAAATGATTTTAATTATTTTCTTTTCATTTTTGTTTTCACTTATTGTATTTTTCTACATTTTAAGGTGAATTACTATGTGATTTTTTTTTTATATGAATGGTGTAATATAAACAAACATTATGTGTTTTCTTTTAAACATATTCAGTTTTGTCTCATTCGAACCACTCCATCTGGGTGCCTCCATTTTCTTGTGTTTTGTTTTTCTAATACAAGAAACAAATTGACTATTTGGAGATGTGTGTTTAATATTAAGACGTATCACCCCTTTGTTGACAATGCTAACAAAAGTCAGCTGTGGGTTTTTTGAAAGGAAAATGCTTTTCCAATTCTCCCTAACGTTGGATTACAGCTGCTCCCACTTATTTGCTTAAGGCCCCTGTGGTCATTGTCTTTGTTTTATCTTGTTAAATGTTTAACTTGGGGTGAGAGTATGCAAAATATCTGACTAATAGAAAACAGCCATGTTGCTGCGTGACAGAATAACCAAATTGTTGATAAGATCAAAATGTCAAAAAGGATTATTCCATACATCTGCAGGCCTAATCACACTATGTCTTTGCAAAAGGTATTCAGAAAATATGAACTTTTTCACATTTTTGTCTTATTACGGCCGTAAGCTGCTGCCTATTTTGTTGGTATTTTATGTGATGGTCCAACACAAAGCAGTTTTCATCTGAAATTAGAGGAAAATAATACATGGCTTACATTTTTTTTTGTAAATGAAACTCTGAAAATGTATTACTATGTACTGTTTCCAACACCCCATTGTCAGTACCTTATGGAACCACTTTGTGCTTAAACTACAAATCTTTTGAAGTATGCCTTAACTAGCTTTATACATTGTGAGAATGATTTTGTTTTCAGTCAGATTAGATATGGAGAGAATTTGAAGTTTACTCTTCAATATTGTTAATTGACTTTAGGTTGAGATACTGAAATGGCAATCCTAAATCCTACAATAAAAATCATCTAAAAATCAGTGGGTGATGTGAAGCCTTTGACATGTCTATTTAAGGATTGTCCTGTACTTAGCTCCATCCATCTTCTCACCAACTCCACCAAACGTCCTGGGTTCCTTCAGAAGAAACGCAACCACACAGCATAATACAGTCATAACCATGTTTCACAGTGCTGATGGGGTGCTCAGGGTAATGAGCGGTAATGGTTTTTCTGCTGTGTTCCTTGGTTTTCATGATGCTCTTTGTTCACTTATGTTCTCTAACAAACCTCAAAGGCCTTCACAGATCAGCTGCATTTATACTAAGGGAAAAAGCACATAGATGAGGTCTATTCATTGTTTTCATGTGGTGACTTGTGAAGACAATTGATTGAACTTTGAAGTTTTGCAAACCATATAATGCTTTAGCTTCTCATTTATGCGCTGCATTGTGTGGTCTTTCTCAGAAAGAAACTCATTAAAGTTTGCAGTTGCATCATAATAAAAGGTGAACAATCCATTATATTTTAATTTGGCCTTTAGATATACTTGCAGAAACATTTAAGGATTTTATAGCTATTGCTAAACGTGTCTAAACAAAATTAAGCCATAAATGCTTCGTCTCACCCACGAGCAATAACTTTTTTTTTTTCCCACCAAGTTATGACAATGATGGACTATGTACGTTCACCATAACTTTCCCTACCGAAAGCATTTTTATTAATGCAATTGCACGTTGCATATTCTTATCATTTCTGTGTGAGCTATGTGCAATTCAACTTTACACTTTCACTGTGCCGTATTGTTAGTTTAAATTGCAATAGTGTGTGCAAACTGTTTTGGTTGAGATGTAAATGGACATGAAAGCGACTTCAAAAGACTGAGGTATCAGATTCAGACACAGGCTGCTTTGCCTGAGCTGACAAACGAGGAGCTGTTATGTGGAAAGCACAGGAATTTACAGGGTCTACCTTTCATCTACACAGGTGGGCTTGTGTGTATGCGTGAGTGTATCTGTGCATAAGAAGGCACAGAGGGGAGGAAATGCTTAATTATGCCCATCAGACCCCGAAACAGAAAGATGACTAGACTTTTGGGCATAAAACATAAATCTAGTTGGTGTTTCACAAGTTAAGATATGATTTTAGAGACTGGGGCACATAAATGAGTCTCAGCTTCAATAGATTATATTGAAGGTTATAATGCTAAAGATTTTAAGAATTGCTTTGCATGTTTGAAAAACAGTAACAGTAAGAAGGCGTATGCTTCTGTGTGTCAGGGATCAAAAAGTGATCCCAGAACCTTTTTGTGAAATAAAATTAATGCTTAGTGGAGATGTTTCATGTTACTTTGCACTGTACAGAAACACACTATGTAAGATGAATATAGAAAAAACAAAAATATAAAAGTTTGTCCATAGCAACAGCACTGTGTTGGAAAAAGTTGGAAAATTTTGTTGAATAGCTTTAATTTTCATGCAAAACACAAAATTTTAATTCATGCATATGGACTGGGATTACTGTACATCCTATTCCAAAGCAAGAGAGGACGAAACAAGTTTCAAATTTTGTTTAGCTCACATTAACTGTTAATTGCTAATTCAGATTATAATTTGTTGTGCCTGTTTTCACTCCACAGAAAGTGAAGAAAATGGAATATTGAGCTCTGCATGCAAAAAGATGTTTTAAGATTTAGCTTACCTGTGAATCACCTGGCTAATGTTTAGCTAGGTGTTTCCTGTAACTAGTTCACTTGTGGTACAAAGTTTTGGCAACTGTGAACATTTATTCTGGCCCAAAATGATATGGTTGCATTTCACAATTACTTTGCATTACTTGGCTTTGCCTCAGAAACAATGTTTGATGTCATGCTTTCTGTTCTCTATTAGAACAAAAGCATAAAGGTCCTTGATTTATGCTTTTCACCACATGACATTCTCTTGTTTGTCTGGAACCACTGTTCTACTCACTCACTACAACCAGCATTTACAGAATTAGCTGCTTTTGTACAGGGGTAAATTTTTTGAGTCCTGTTTTTTTTTTGTCTTTCACTTGACTGATTAAGCTAACCCCAGTACATTAAGTGATGCACAAAACTATTTTGTCCATTTGTTTTCTTTCATTTTTTTTACACCAAAAACATTTATTATAAGAAGGGCTCAATTGCTGCAATGCCAAAAACAAATTTCCTTTTCGAGAAGCATTCCAATAATTTTTGACATGCAATTTATAATTAAATGGATATGAAAAATTGTTAATAGTTTTATTTTTTTTTTCTCTAAATGGATACCACTTTGACAATATTTCTTTTTATATTTAAAATGGTATTTTCTCTCAGGAGTCACTTACTTTTGTGTGATGGATGCTGCCTTTTATTTGGACATTATCAGTAGAAAATCTTTCTTCATCCTGAGTAAAGTTAATATTCATAAGATAAGATTAAAAATGTATGATTTTCATACTATGAAATTCATGTCAGCGACTTTTAATTGTGGGATAGTTTTACCTGTTTTTAGCTGAGGGGTCAGTCAAATGAGGAAACTCTACTAAATAAAATCACAGATTGCTGCATTTAATAATGTGCACTTATGGCAAGATTAGATTACGTGTGCGCAATCTCTGAAGGAAAATTGAACATTGGATTTCATTTAGGGAACATAAGAGTAATGCAGGCAGAAGAGAAATGCATAGCACAATTTTTAGGTTTTTAATTTGTGAAATGCTATGACTATTTAGCATTTATGCACTTATGCATCATGTTGCATTTATTTTCTTTCACAATTTTGTGTTGTTTTCTCGCAATCAGCTTGTAAGTTGATTGTGGGAATCAGCTTTCTCTCTTTATCTTTATATTCAGCTTCTAAGACCTTTATCTCTTTGTAGCTGCAAAGAGATAAACAGTGGAAACCTTTTCAATGCACTGCATGATGTTTAAAGTTTCCAAGTGAAAACATTTTCTGCACAATAGACACAGCTGTGCTTATGCTTGTTGAGGACTCTGATTTTAAGTCATAAACATCAACATGCTACCAATAAACCTTCCGTCATAACTATTAAATAAAGCACCTCGATAAGAGACTAACCAGCAAACACTGATAGGTTGAATTGCTTGTGATAACAGCGCTGACCCATGATGTCACAAAAGGCAACTGACAAGAAGGCAGTTTGTCATTCAATTTATTTTGTTAGTTTAATTTCTATAGCAGGTGAGGGAACATAACGGTCACATATGGGTTCTCTTGAGCATAGTTTTCAGAAATCACAGTGTTTCAGACATGGACATGAACATCTTAAAAAAATGACAATGAAGAAGAAAGGGCCAAGAGGAAACTTAAAAACACGATGTCACTTTTTCCTACACAACTTCTCCTTCATGGTCCTCCAATTGCCCCCTTTGATTCACACACACACACGCACGCACACGCACACACACACATGCAAACATGAACCTGCACACGCAAACATTCGCACAATGTGTTGTCATCCCCTTCCCCATTCCCCAAAAGGCAAACAAAACAAAACAATAAAACGAACCTCAGGAACAAATAGATATATTTATATTTAATATATATTTACTCTTTAAAAATAGAACTTCGGTCTAGATACTAACATCTGTACAAACTACAAAAATATAAATTTTAATATAAATAATTTATATGGCATGACATTAACATTTTTCTTGAAATAAACTACAAACCACCGCAAGAGCTCCTTGCTCTCGACCCCCTCCCTCATCAGAATCTGACATGGTGTGCTCGAACTGGAAAGCGGTGCTTTGCTTCATAATTCCCAACAGCAGTAGCTAAACGACTCAACTTTCATATTTACAAAAAGTAAGAAAACGGAAGAAGCTGCCACTTGAAACATGACAAAGACAATAGATCCGCATGTTTATCCCTGCAGTTTAAACTGGCAGTGACGAGACCAATACTGAACGACTGAAGCTTTGTTCTCAGTCTGAGGGGAAGCAAAACGAGTAGAAAGTGAGTCGAAACGAGTTGAGGCACCAAGACTGACTAAACCAGTCCAGAGTCAAAACAACATGACACTGTTGCTACTCAAAAAGGGGGAAGAATCAAACAAAAATAACTCCCTTTGCATTTTTAAAATTCCCTTTTTGACAAGGCGAACAACACTTTTTCGACAAAGTGACTAAAACGCCCATCCTGCCCCTAAACCCATAAACGAGCTTACACAAACTGCTGAAAAAATTGACATAAGTTATCGGAGCTCCTTCAAGTAGATTAAAACTGCAGAGGATGTTGAGACAAAGTTGGAATTAGGAGCGTTGCTTTCCAGCACGATGGCTAAATAATTCAAAAGGTTTAGAGCCTAAACATAATACTGACCTGTAATTGCTGGGATAATGAGAAAAAGGGGGACACACTGAAGGCACAATGGTTACTGCTGTTAGGAAACAGTATCTGTTGTGTAATTCCCTGCAACCTACGACAAAGAACTTGGACCCAACAGATTGTTTATGACGAAGTATTTCATAGTATAATACTGTGAAAAAAAAAGAGGAGGGAAGGGGTATGGGATAGGTCGGGGGACTGCACTTATCAAGCCAAATTGCCTGAAAAGAAATCGGAAACGTAGCAGCAAGAAAAAAAACAACAACAACAAAATAACACAAATAGAAATAAACACTGACCATGTATGTTCAATACTCTAATACCTTAATAAAATCTCACTTTTTTGTGAAAACATATAGAACATGTCTTATTCTATACAAAGTGGGACGGAAAACAAATCCACATCCCCACATGAAAATAATCTTTTACATCTTACATAAGAGAATACCCAAGTAATACAGTACTCTTTTAAATAGCTTCCCTCTTTTTAGTATTAAAATATATATACTCATAGATTTATATAACTCTTAAAACAAGTAATTTCATTTTTCATGTTCTTGATGTGAATCGTCTCTGCTTTTTTTTTCATGTGAAGTCTATGTACAATTAAGAGTTTGAGCCACAGTGAGGAGGTCGAGGTGCTCTGGGGTCCAGAGACTCAAAGTGAGAGAGCCATGATGAGTGAGTCTCTAGCAGTCTTTAGATGCCTGGATCCTCAGCCCACCTGCCGCACACAGGAAACAGGAAACAGTCAGCAAACGAAGCTCTCGTTTCAGAACTTCTTCGAGGTTTGTGAAAAGGTCAGCAGAGGAACCCGGCTCACCTTATGACTTGCTGAGTTGATATTCCGTCTGAACCTGTGTCACCTCCAAGTCTTGGAGCTCTAGAGAGTCTCTGGTACATGAAGAATAGTTTGCTTTGTCGCCACAAGTCCTTGTTGCAGCTTCAAAACAGTCTGACTCGCTGTCCATGTCAAAACCTTCATGCATGTAGCCTTGATAAGCGGTCCCTGGTAACGTCGGGTGCACGGCCACTGTAACGGAGGCCGTAGCAGTCACCATGGTGACTGGGCCCCCAGCGGGGCCTTGTTGCATTGGCAGGGAAGAGTTGCTGTGACCATAGCTCGGCCTTTTAGTCCTGTTTGGCTGAGGCCCTCTGCTGTTCTGCAGCCTGGGGCCACTTTGACAAGTCCTCCCAGGGAATTGAGCTTTGTCGCTGGGTAAGCGTTGAGGCGACTGATCCTGCAGTCTCTGGAGATCGCGCTTCTGCTCACGCTTGTTTCCATCCCAGCATGTTACCTGGGAGCCGACAGGCGGTTGCAGATTGTGGTTGGATTCACATGACGGTTCAACCCTCCCACCGACTGCGTTTTCCATAAAGGGCTTCAGCACCTAAAACAAACACAACATTTGTATGTGACACATAAGTACCAATACAAGATTAAAGAGGAGTTATATGCATAAATCTCTGGAGATTTATGCGGTCATGGTGCTTACCGTTAGTTTGGGGAAGCTTGGGTTCTTGCTGGCTTCCACCAGGATGTGAGACGTCGTGGAAGGAGCTGTCGTGTGTGACGCTTGGTACGCGCTCCTGTCACAGTACTTATAGTCCTCCTCCCCGATCCCAGAGGTCGTCGTCACTTCGGAGTAGTATTCAGAATCTGACGACTCCGAAAACGCTTGCTGCCGTGGCGAGCGTGGATGGTTGTGGGCTGTGAAGTATCCATGGTGGGCCATTGGAGGAGGCAGCGGAGGTTCGGGAGAAGGTGTCGGCAGGCAGCCGGCATTGTCAACTGGGGTGACTTCAGCTGGAGGGCCCAGCATGGAGAGGAGGACTGGGAGGAGAACTAAGCCATTCAGTATCCCCAAAACAGTCAGAATGGCAAGGACTGCGAAGAAATACCTGTGAGATGAACAGACATAGAGCTTTGATTAGATCAAAAGAGAAATATAATCAACTTCAGACCATTTTTAGCTTAGATAGTCCTGATATGTCACTTGGAGTAAGAAATTAGCTACGGGTTGTGCTTACAATAAAAACTTTCTCAAGAATCAAAGAATCTAGTGAATAGCTAACTATCACTTCACCTCAGTAACAGTGAGGTGAAATGAGATAAGATGAAAAGCAAAAATCTAGGATGCTATTTTAAGGTAAACTTCTATATATTAAGACTTTTCTATGAGAGAGTAATTCCTTAGATAACAGCACAATTGCTTTTTTTTCTATCTTTGTTTCTTTTTGACTGGTTTTCCTTTTACCTTCTGTCTTTATGGAACAAACAATGTAGGCAGGCTTTCAGAAACCTCAGAATGAAGGTAAGGATTCACATTCTCCAGAGGAAAAACACAAAATCAGCTGTTTTTTTTAAAAAAATGTTAGCCAGGCTATTGTGTATAAAGTATTTAATTATTTTATCTTTATTTTTAAAAACAAGTAAAACTTTATTTCACATTGTGTGCTGTTGCACCCATATTAGCATTTAGCCAAACGTTTGATAATTCTAAATAATTTCATTTGAAATCAATTATTTCAATAATCTAATCAGTTAATATTTTCCTTGCATCTTATACAAAATGAGCAAGACTACATGGCTTAAAACCACGTGGTCATGCACACATTAATGTGTGCATGACTTACACACACACACACACACCCCCACACACGCACACACACACACACACACACACACACACCCACACACACACACACACCCACACACACACACACACACAGCTGCTGTACATGAGGAAGAAAACTAGCTCAGGGAAGGAAGGCTGGGAAAACCCAATGCTTGTGTATCAAAGGGGTTGGGGGAGAGGCTAATCTGACTCCCCACTCAGCTTAAACATGCTTTGATGCCTCTCGTGCTGCTTCTGCACAACTTTCTCTCGCTCTGTTTTTCTTTTTCTTTTTTGCAGCTCCCACTGCATGCGTGCTTGTTTTGTGCATGTGTGCGTGCATCTCGACGGAGCTCCGGGGAGGCCAGGGGTGGAGGCACGCCACAAGAAAGAGCTCCCCCGAGCAAATTAGAGAGGACTCCACTTAAACACTAACAGAAAATGTGAAGGAAGAGAGACTGTAAGATGCTTTAAGTCTGCTAGGCCAGACTTTAGGAGGTGAAAGAAATAAGGAGAGAGAAAAAAATAATGAAGTTGGCATGAGGCAAGGCAGAAAAAAAACAACAACAAAAAAGAAGGAAAGCGGTGGAGTCATTATGGAAAGATGCTTCTTTATAATCACTTGAAATGATTATTACTGCTTTTCAAAAAGTAAAGCCCTTTTTTTTCAGGAAAGATTAAAAACCCAAAATGAAACCAAAATCATATTATGTCTTTGAATTAAATTCAAAATACCACAGCGGTTTCCTTTATGTGCTACTTTTTACTTTATTTACAGAAAAAAAAAGACAACTAGAACCCTCCATCAGTCACTGTCATGAATTTTGTGGCTTACACAAACTAATCTTTTCCATTTGTGGCCTGGAAAGGGATTCATGCACATACATGAAGGTATATGTGTTTCTGTTTGTAAAAAAAAAAAAAAGAGAGAGAGAGAGAGAGAAAGACTGGTGAGAAGAGTCTCTAGTCATGCTTGTTTGTGTATTCAGCGCATTGCAAGGCCAGAAGATGTTTACACCAGCATGTTTATGCTGTTCCCCAGCTAGCCTGCTTTGCCTCACTCCATTTGCCCAACTACAACTGCAGCTAAACGAGACCTCCAACAGAGCCTCGGCCCCTCTGCCTCACCCCTTCCCATCCTCTGGCCATATGTTGTCTCCCAACCACTTTCTAGTGATTTTTCCTTTCTTTTAGTAGGCTTGCATTTGCTTAACTTCAGTTCTCCTTCTCTGTGGAGGTTCCCTTTACTATATTTGAACCACCCATAAGAACCACATATCCGTGCAAGTCAGCTAACCCTTCCAAGACTCCCACTCCCTGCCTCTCCTTCTGCTTCTGTGCAAGTTTCTTCAGAAAAACTGGCTGTTTTTATGTCACGGAGGCCTGTTGCAGTCTGTGAGCTCAAGGTTGTGGTTTCGGGTTTGGGCCGAGACCACGTTCTGCTGAAAAACATGGAACTATTCGGCTTTTTTTCCACTTAGCCCACGAAGTGCAAGAAAGAACGAAAGAAAGAAAAAAGATGCATTACGACGCACATGCACAAGATTTACACTTCACTCGCAAGACACGCACATGCACTGAGAACAGAGTCGGAAGGAACAGTCTTTGTTGGTGGGCTGCATAACATCTGACTGGCTGACCAGTTCAAATTTAGCTGCAGTTTTTATTATGGCATCCGACATGGAAGGGAAAGAATGCCAAATGGATGATAGGAATTTTTACAGATTCCCCGAGTGTGTGTAGGTGTGCGCGCCCGTGTGTGTGTGTGTGAGAGAGAGAGAGAGACACCACCCAGTGGGCAGCAGAAAGCTTCCATGTTTACAAGCAGCTGCTACACAACACTGATGTTTTCCCCATTTGTTGCATTCTGAAGTTGGGGATCTGTGTGTGCAAGTGTGCTTGTCCTGCTGGAGTGACAGAACCAGCTGCGTAGTAGACACTGTCTGCATGCATCTCTGTGTGTGTGTGAAGAAAGACAGAGAAAAACACTTCCACCTGCATCAAGCCCTTAGCTCCGCCAGGAAAGCTTCCTTTTGCAACCCAGCAAGGAGAAACAAAAACACCCACATATATCTCACCTCATAATGAAGTCAAACTCTGATCCCGCCAGCATGAGAACACCCAGCAACGTGGAGATTGCACCATCAACCACTGGGGCGAACATGTGTTCCAGTGCCACCGCGGAGCGCTTGTTTCTGTTGCCAATCGCTGTCAGGAAGCCCTGTGGCCAAAAAAAAAAAAAAAAAAAAGGGAAAGGTGGGGATGAGGAAGAAGTTGGAAATCTTTCCAATCATCCAAAATGTGTTTGTGGCGAAGCTTGGCAGGCTACAGAACTGCTGGATTACTGCGCTTAACACCACACTGTGCTACAATAAAAGTCTGCCAGCATAAGGGAGGAAGCCAAAATAAATCCTTAATCACAAACATTTTACCTTCATTACTTTCCATTTAACAAATAAAACTACAGGAGTCTCTGCTTTGAACTGATGTGGGCTTTGTGGAAAACAAATTAAAGTCCTGGTTTTCAGTATTTCTTCCATGTTTTTTTTACAGGTTTCAAGCAAAACGAGCATTTCACTGATAGCCATCACTGTCTAAAGACTTACCAGGGCAATGTGAACCGTAAACTCCACGCCGATGCCCACCGATGCGATCAGGATGACCACAGGAATGGCACTGAGCTTGATGCCAATCAGGCCCATGATGCCAAACAACTCCACCGTCATCATGGCCAAGATAAACACCTGAAACACACATACAAAGAAATGTTGTAACTCTAATGTGGAAGAAAATTAAGAATGAAAGAACAGAATAAGAAACAAAAAAATGGCCTTGAAAGAGGTAATTATCAGTGATTTTCTCATTTGTCATTTGCCTGGGTTGACTGTTTTTCAAAAAACTGTGACCCTGTACTTAAATTCAAATTTCTAGCTCTGGGAAAATGACTCAGAGTACTTCAAATCTTTTATGACCATTGAACACACTATTCTACCAGTTCACACTAACTGTACAGCTATCGGATGTGGAAAGTTTTGTTATAGGAGGAAGACTCCTAGAGCTGCTAATTCTGTGAAGTGCTTGAATATAAAGTCAAAGAAATGTTTGAAGCTATACTGAAAAAAAAAATCCTCCAGGTTTCAAGAGATCAAGAGAGAGCAAGACTAACAGGAGAGCTGAACAAAGCACAGCAGAAACACTTGGTCTGTTCCTTCAGAGATTTTAAACTCTGTATGTTGAGGAATATTTTAGATAAAAAAATGTCAGCATAGTGGAAATCTCAAGAGTTCAGGTAAGGGTCTACATTCTTCAGGAGAATACATACAATAATGCAATATATTTTATATGTCAATTAAAATATATTGTATCCACTGTCACGCATCTGTCACACACAGCTCCTAATATAAAGAATCACTAGAAAAAAAAACAACCAAATCTCAAAGATTCATAGAAACTGAGGAAACTGGATGTATCTATATTTGAAAAAAGGGTTTTAAAAAAAGAATAGACATATGCCTGGGAAGATGGAGCGTTTGATCCCAGCGTGAGCCTTGAGCTTGGGCAGAGTTACAGTGGAAATGATAAAATCAGTTTTATTGCTCAACCACACACAGGCAAGAGGGGCTTGTCATCCGCTGGCATCTCTTTGTTGTCTCCATCAGAGGTACTAAGGCAGTGCCTTTTAAATAAAACATACTATGTACAGACAAACTCAGTTGTTGCCTTACAGCAGAGTGTCAAACTCCAGTCCTGGAGGGCCACTGTCCTGCAGTTTTTTGATGTGCCACAGGTACAAAACACAGGAATGAAATGGCTTAATGACCTCCTCCTTGTGTAGATCAGTTCTCCGGAGCCTTGCTATTGACCTCATTATTCTATTCAGGTGTGGTGCAGCAGAGGCACATCTAAAAGTCGCAGGACACCGGCCCTCCAGGACTGGATGTTGACACCCCTGCCTTACAGAGTTCATCAATTTATGTTTTTTATGTATGTGTGTGTGCATGTATTAGGAATGTTTCTCTCCAAATCACATGAAGATGTGCCCATATATATATTCTGATGGATGACTTGAGCAGGCCAAGGTTGCAACTGGACCGATCTGTTCTCTCTTTTTCCCTTTGACAAAAACAGCAAGTGGGCTGGAGGTGCAGACTTCAGGAGGCTGAAGGCTGTTTTTGACTGTTATGCATTTCCTTTTTTTCTGAGGGAAGGCAAACCTAAGCTAGAATGACAATGTCTCTGTGTGTGAGAAAGTGGCCCTCTGCAGAGACAAACAAGGGCCCCTAGACAGTGTTGGTGAGGTATGCTGAGAGGAGTAAAAAGAAAGAAAAATGAAGAGTGGAGGAAGGAAGACGGTAATGATCGTTAGGACAGAAATGGGAAATGACAGAATGGATGAGCGATGGAAAGACGAGGCCAATAAGGGGGAGGCAGGACTTACAATGATGCCAGCTGTCCAGGGGTTGAGCAGGAGAATGGCGCATACCAGGAAGGTACAGGCCAGCACAACGCTAATTGACAGCAGGAACCAGTGACGGAGGCCGATGTACTGTTCCCAGAACAGGAAGGGGTAACCGTTAGGGTAGTTGAGCACGCCCTTGCGACTGAACTCATCACAAATGGCACGCACGCTCTCGATGGCCTCCACGAAGTCACTAGCCTGCCGAAGGCCGTTCAGGTAGAAGGGAAACTGAGCAAACTCCAGGGGTTCCGCTGAGGGGACTGAACAGAGGAAAATATTATTTTGTTTTCTCTACTGAGAGATATACGTGTAAAAATTTACTTTTGAAAAAAATAAATAAATAAATAAAACACTTACTGCGCAGATTTTCTCCGGTGGTGTCATACTTGTCATGAATCCACTCTCTGGGGTGAGGATAGAAGTTGGCCTGGGATGCGGCATAGCCCAGGGGATCATTACTGACCCACACGGTCAGGTAAATGTAAAACACCTCTGGGGGGATCAAACCCTCACCATCCACCAGCCGGCGAGAAGTCAGCTAAAGAAAGAACCATGCATTAATTTTTCCCGGGCCACAGGCTAGAGCAGGACAGTGACATCTGGTTATCTGTTTTGAGGTACCTGGCTGCGGTTGAAAGGCTCTTTCTTGGAGCCTGTCTGGATGAGCAGCTTGTACGCCAGAGCTCCATCTTCTGTGCCGTTCCTGTAGCTGTCCGCTGTAATCCGGCCTGCCTGCCAGTCAGCATCAAAAGCAGCCTGGAGACCTACGCGTGTGGTAAAAACACACAAAAAGGAAGAATTATTGTGGATATTACTTGGAAATGCCTTGATTCTTATGACCATAAAAACAGAAAGTTTTTCCAGATGTTTCTCTTTGTATGAGGTGACGCTGAAAATGTGAAAGCTCATGTTTCCTCTTTTTTCTCCCCCCACAGTTGGCCCTGATTGACCTGTTAACTATTACTTCCTCTTGACTGGGCCTTTGACACATTATAACCTAAGGACACCCACACACACAAATGTACACACGCATGTAAAGATAACCCATGACCTCAACCCATCGACAACGCCACCCATGAGCCCAGGTGGAGGAGGGGGGGGGGGGGGGATAGTATGACTGAACTTTTGCTCACCCTTTGCAAATTCTCAACCTCACTCCCTCTACTCACCGCAAGCTGACTTTAGTAAAGCAAAAAGTGGAAGAATTGGTTTATTTTTTTTCCTTTTTCTGCTCAGCGAAAGCACAAAATCTAAGATCTAACACGCTGTATTCTCTATAAATATAACTACAATTGTATATTTTTAGCATCAGTAATGTGCATTAAAATAAAGTCAGATATAACACATCAATGTAAAATATCTCCAGTTCATTCAGGCTGGAAGAGAGCGAGAGAGACCGAGACGTCAACAGAAAGCAGGAAGGAAATATAAAACATGAGAAAAAGTACAACAAAGATGCTCTATGTTGTCCTTTTAAGCTTTCAGCTGCTGAACATTAAGGAACATTTTTAAATTGGATATGTTGGCAGCCTGCAAACATTGATGGTAGCAACTCTAATTATGCTAATTGCGAACACAAGATGCTAAATTATGTCATTATTTTGTCCTTATTTTGCTTCAAATATTATTAAACACCTAATATTTAGCAACTTTTTTCTCACTCATGTGGTGTGACTTTAGTTGAGATCCTTATATTAAAGGAAAAGACCCCTAACAAGTCAAAGGACCTTTGACTTGCTGTTCTTATATATTCTTCTATTATAATTCTGTAAGAGAAATCTGAATTGGAAGAATTAAAAACAACAGGCTGAGGTTTCACAAAAACTGGTGATAAGAAATCAGCCACAAAATGTTGCACTTATAAAATAAACCCAACTACAAGAATATATATTGTTTTCATTTAAGGAAAACTTCAAGAGGCTGGGGAAGGTTTATTTTTTAAAAAAACTATGGGCTCTTTACCGTTCAGCCAGTCCTGGAAGTAGTGCAGCCACATGCGGGGCAGCTTGTTGTCGCCGTCTCTGACTACGTATTTGACAGAGTTGAAGGCGTTGTGTAGCTGAATCAGCAGCCTCTGAGATCGGGCGTAGTCAAATCCATCCATCGTAACTAAGTACATGTTGTAGAAGGAGAAGTACTTGAACTGTGCATCGATGAAGTCATACTCCTTGGTGTCACGGGGCACGATGTCGGTCAGGTAGAGGCCGTCATGCACCATGGTGGTCCCGTACAGCCCGAGGCTGAGAAGTCCCAGGAAGAGAACCACCACTGCGACTTTGCTCTTGGGCTTCAGGAGCAGGGGGGCATACTTTTCCCGGGCAAACTTGGACAGGTTCCAGTGGAGGAAGGGGAGTGGAACGCACTCCTTCCCCGACTTGGAGTCTTCCACCTGGGCTAGGAGGTCTCGGGTGGAGCTGGAGGTCGGGGTGAAGAGCTGGGAGCCATAGTGGTCTGGCACAGAGGTGGTGGTTGGGGAAGGTGATGCAGCTAGGGAGAATAATATATAGAAATCAAATGTTAGAGTGCTTTGTATTAAATTTAACTGATCCTTTTCGATATTATGATTCCAAAGGATTTGCGTACCCTGAGTCTGTGTGGTGGGACAGACAATGATGGAGGGAGAGCTTGTGGAGATCTGTGAAGTTGGTGGCAGAATTGTGACAATATGCTGACCCGCTGCGTCGCACTGCGTAAAAGCTTGCACTGTCGTGGTGATCTGGGTGCTGGTGGTGATTGTCGGTCCTGCGGCATACTGGTGCGTATGCGCTGTCCCCGCACCGGGCGCCTGAGACTGCTCGCCAGCTTCTGACAGCTCGTTCGGCGAGAGGTGAATGACACGATCAGCGCACGGGCTGTACAGGCAGCAGAGGATGTCCAAGCGTTTGTCCTCGCGCCGGTGGAGGTCCAAGCTGAGGATGGCAGGGAAGATGAGCAGCACCATGGCAAAATTAAATACCACCACAATGGCTGCCTGGGGAGAGAGAGAGAGAGACGAGAGGAAAAATTACAGATCCATAAGCCCAGCAGGGGTAAGTCAAAACTTTTTTTTTAGTATCTTAGAGTACAGCCCCGTAAGTCAAAAAAATCCCTGCTCTAAATCAACAAGCCAGGAGGTTAGAAAGACTGAGCTAAGAGAGGAAGAGTGATTTGAAAGAAAAGAGAGAAGAAGAAGGCACATATATGTTGCGAGTCTGAGCAAAACCATCACCCTGTTACCAGTGCTTCCATCACCTCCACCCCCCGCTCAGCTCAGGCCCTGGAGCTGACATTCTGTTATGTGGTTTCGAGTGTGAGCACATCTATGCGTGTGTGTTTATCTGCGCGCTTGTGTGTCTCAGACCACCCACAGTTAGTCACAGATCAGAGAAAACCGCTTTGACGGGCCAGTGATATACTGATCCACTACTCCCTCCTCTGTCTGCTTCTTTAAGTCTGTTCACAGCCCTTTATGCTCTGAATATTTCATGTTATACACACATGCAAAGACATGCATCTACAGAAAAAAAAAAAATCCTGGCCCTCTAGGTACAGAGGCAATAAAAGCAGCAACAAAAGCTTTCGTTGATGTGAATAAGTGTCACTTCTTTTAAGTTTACTCTTTCATTTGCAAAGGAGCTTTGGGCTTCATGGTGCGCGATTGTGTGTTTGCCGCATTTATGTCCCAGCGAGTACATCCGCGTGAGGGTGGAATAAAATAATAAAAAAAAATACCTGCAGAGAGAATGCCCGCAAGGCTGGGATGGGCACCAGGGCAGCCATGAAGAACGCAATCATGTTGTTTAAGGAAGTCAGAGCCACACTTGTGCCGGTGCGACGCAAGCAGTCTCCTGTCCGCTCCTTCACGCAAACACAAAAACACAGATGAGTCAGAAGAGACAAAGAGAGGAGACGAAAAGGGAGGAGGGCAGTGTGGTGGAGATATTTAAAAGTACCTTAAAGGGGATATTACTTCCTGCCTCCGTGAAGGAGTGGGCCAACAGAAACATGTCATCTACACCGATCCCCAGTGCCAGGAAGGGAAGCACCTGGGATGGGAAACGCATCAGTGAAGGGCAAAAGGGTCAGAATGAACATTTGAAGAAAGTTGACATCAAATTCTGGGCATTAAATCAAAGGAATTACCCCCCACACATATTTTTAAGATCACATTGTCCTCTGAACCAGTGGTTCCAAAGCACTTTTTTAAGACCCCCGCAACCCCCCTCCTTTTTTTGCCACCCATAAAAAAGGATTCATGCAACAACAAAACCCTAAGAATTTATAATTTATTCTAAGACAAAACTGCCCAGAAATGAACTTTTCTGAGAGTACTAACAGCCTTAATCTTTCGTGCCTCAGTCTAGAAATATCTGATTCCAAAATTATGTTTTTCTTTTAGTTTATGAATGACTTTCTTCAGTATAATGCCATTGTAGTCATAAACACACTTCAAAAAATTACATTTACACTTGCAATGAGGCACTTGAATATATAAAAGCACCATATGATGCAAGAAAAGTCATCTTAATTTTAAGATGGATAAATAATGTGCCATTATCTCTCCATCCATCCATAAAGCATAGGGCGTTTTCCGTTGTGTTGTACCTGTGTAGTAGCAGCATTGAAAGAGAGGCCAAGTAGAGAGCAGAGTCCCAGTCCTGCTGCCACTGACAGCGCTACCAGCAGCACCCCCGCCAGTCCAACAGCCCCCTGCGACTTGGCACAGTCCCATCTGAGCATCGTCACACAGGCGTAGGCCAACTAGGGAGAAGACATGCTGTGTAAACACCATAACCCCTTGCTTAAACTTCTCTCCTCATAAAAACACTCCGATTTCACTAGGTAATCACCATGAGCAAGTATCCTCCAGCGACTCTGATGACACTGACGTCGGAGAAGGACTTCATGATGTCGTTGAGGGTAGTTGTGGAGAAGGCATGGATAGACTGACTGGAATTACCAGGAATACTCTGGTGGACGACCTGCAGGAAATAACTAGTTGTCAAAACATGCTTTGGAGAATACAAGTGAAGAAAACCTGGGAGGAAAAAAAAAAGACTAATCTATCTTTTTGAAGTATGACTGAAAGTGAGCATGAATGTGTTTTTACATGTGGCAGCGTGTGTGTGCGTCCACACATAAGTATGACAACTGAGGAGTAATGAGCACAGATGCCAGAGGTTAGGAGGTCAAAGGTGAAAAGGATGGGATCGCACGGTTCAGGCAGCCACTCTCTGCACACTCCACACCACGCATGAACCAAAGTTTTCTGAGAAACTACCTGGGCACATGAAGTCATCGTTCGCTATCTCAAACAGATCTGCTCCTGTTTTTTAATGCGTCAAAGAGGAGGTCTTGAGTCTCGGTCAGTTTACGTTGGGAGTTTGTTATCCACCCCTTCTCCCCACCACCCTCTCTGTGGTGGGTGTCGGCTATCATAGCAACAGCTTGTTCCTATAACTAGGGCTCTGACAGAGAGAGATGACTGCCCTGCTGCACACACATGCACACGCAAACCTGGTGCCCTGTTCACTTCATTCAGGGTGCAGAAGACTGATGGAATTCAAATACTGCATCATGCCTGTGTGTGTGTGTGTGTGTGTGTGTGTGGGGGTGTGTGTGTGTGTGTGTGTGTGGGGTGTGTGTGTGTGTGTGTGTGTGTGTGTGCGTGTGTGTGTGTGTGTGTGTGTGTGTGTGTGTGTGTGTGTTCTCCATGTTGTTCTCCATGTGTACATGGACAACAACATTGTATAGGAAGAGGAAAATATCTAAAAAAAAAACAATTGTATGTTTTATTCAACTTTGTGACAGATATATGGCTTTAAAAATAGTAGTGAGTTTATACCTCCACAAATTTCCTCTGCCAGGACTCGAGGATGGCGGTGGCCTTTTCCTCATTCCAGTTGATGTCGTGGATCTCATAGTCGTCCTTGAAGTGTTCATAGAGCTGCTTGGGACTCATCAACAGGAACATGGATTGGAGAGCCTCCGCACTGCATGGGCATGCAAATAATGGATTAGCTGGGTTTTGAGCATTCTCTGTTTCACTAGGATGCTTTGAAGTGACATCACTTAAAGTACCCACAGACCATCTTGGAAGCTGATCAATGAGTATAAGCATATACTTGAGACAAAAACATTTCAAACTGTATTAAGAGAAGACAGCAGAGTTTGGCAAAGGATATGTCACATATGATCAATGGACTAAACTCTAAATTGTGATTGGTAAAACAGGAACAGATTAAGTTAACACCAAGCAGATTCTGTAAAAAAAAAAAAAAAAAAACAAGGCAAAAGTAAACCTGTGTGAATCTTAAATCTGCTGTCTGATCCAGTGCAGTATTTTAATTTGTGCTGAATGCCTTCATAAATCCAGTGCAGTGGCTGTTTCCAAATGTTTTCACCTCACAATTCCCAAAAGAAGACTGCTGGAGACAACCAGCTCATTATTTATGGGTGGAGTCAACAACAAAGTCATAAGCCAGGTAAGCGAGTGTAAAATGACCCTTCGAAACAGCTCAAACAACCATTATACTACTTCTTTTTATACATTTATGACTACTGGAAATGTTTTTTACAATTATGGCAGAAGATATGCTTTGAAAATCTTGTTAAAAATTGATTTAGTATCTAGAAGTCATACATAGACCCTTCACTGGTGTTTCATGACCTGCTGTGGGTCCAACTTTGGAAGCTAGTAAAAGGACTTGGGACAGCACCAGCCAATACGTTTTTCTCCTTCTTCTTTACTTCTTTCATACAAAAAAGTTGTAGCAATCCATGAGACTTCATTTGATTGTCAATTATCTTTAACTAGCTTACCAAACATTCAGTTTACTTATGAACCCTATTTGTTTTGGTATCTCTGGGTTAAGCTCCAGTCTGCTGTTATTCTTTCTCCGTGCAAATCTACACACCTTAGCAGGGCATCCTGGCTGCTTTTGACACGCCCTCCCAGGATGAGCTCCTCCTGCCAGTGCATGAACTTCTGACTGAAGCCGTGGCATCCACCCTGGAGACGGCCGGCAATGTCTGGACTCTGAAAAGAAGGAAAATTGTAGGCCTTAGAAAACTAAAGCTCTGCCATTACAATCGTATATGACGCCTACAGTTGCACTTTGGAAGCGTGGACTCACTTCTTCCTGTTCCTTATTGGGGGCACTGAGAGGGCAGTCTGGGTCTGATGTGTCCAGGCATGGCCTGTCCATATAGGCGTGTCCCACCTGAAGAAAACAAAAAAAAAAAGCAGCATTAAAGTCTTGGTGTCTGTAAAAGGTGCTGATAAATAGTTTATAGGTTCTCTTTTTTGTGTTTTGTTTGCTCAACACCTCCTCCCAATCCCCCAAAAGGAAAAGTTGAATCCCTGTGGCACCCCAGAAGAGACTTTACCCTAAGGAGTGAGCCACACTACCCATGTTCAAAACAGTTTCTAAGTAAACAAAGCGAGTCTTCCCTTCAATAAGTTACTGTGTGTTTCAGTGTCTTACCTGGGCTTTGTCCAGCATCTCTTTAAAACCTTCCAGGGATGTGTACTGGCCCAGTTCTTCCATCAGCTTGACAGGATCTAAATTCATCCACTGGATATCTGGCATGCCCCTGCAAAGCAAAACAGCAGACTTTTAAAGGTCAACAATCCAGACCAGTTTCAGCATAAAATCCTAACTTCGAGAGCAAACCCTGAACCCATCTCTGCTGCTGTACACACTAATCTTTATTGTGAGCAGGAAAACGCCTGATCTGGTCTGTGCTCTGGCTTCTTTGCTGCATGGGGGGCATGCAGGAGGCGAGCTGCAGATACAGGATAAAATAGCGTTTATTATCCTGTTTCACGCTGCCACAATGCCCGGGAAGAAAAAAATAATAAAATAAAGGCACGGTGGCTGCCTGCTCACTTTCATTCCTCAGTGCCCTGCACCGAGTCATAACAATTACCTCTGCCTCGAAAACATCTTGATAAAGAGGAAAAAGTGAGGAAAAGGAAAAATAGATTCAGGGATGAGCAAGAAGACAGGAGTAGAGCCACCATTTGCACAACACAATATTTGTCGATATTTCCACTCAATTATCTTGTTTGCAAACTTTTATTGAATGCAAAACTAACAGATTTAATAGTTTGTTTCCTCCCGCCACTTAAAATGATATCAGGCCTTAAATATATTTCAGGCCTAGTAACATTTTCTTCAGTTGTCAGAGATCTTCAGAAATAATTCTTCATTGTTGACTCATTTTGTGGCTTTGTTTTGTCATTTTGAATGATAGAAAGTATCATCAGGAAAATGAATAATTCAAAAAATAATTTGGGTTCAAGATGCGATCTTCCTCCAGTAGCTAGTGAGGTCCTCTGGTATTCCCACATACCAGGCTCCCATTTTGCTGCTGGTCGCAAAGACACTCCTTTATCAGCTACTTTTTGCTTGACTGAACCAGGCCTGGGCTCTTTTGTTTTTTTTCATAGATTGCTGTTTTTTGTTCTCCTTTTTTTTTTTTTTTTTTTTTTTTGCACTCATTTCTTCAGCCTCTTTCCCAGTCTGTCTCCTTCTGATTTTGGTCTTTCTCCTGTGTAGTGCTCTGTTTTCCCTCCATTTCTTTTTCCATTAAACACGTCTGAACTAGAAGTCAAACAAAAGCATTGCCACCCCGTGACCATTTCTGATATTTTCTCAGCTCTTCACAAAGCACGAGGAATAAACATTTAATAAACAACAACAGATGTCGCAAACATTGAGTGGATTTACAGCAATGATTGGGAGATGTGTGAATCATCAAAGACCCCACTTCTCTCACTCTGGTGCGATCACACAAGCCAACTGGGAGATGCTAAGGATGGGAAACTTTGTGTTTGTTTCTGTATTCACTGGCTTGTCATGCAACATGGCGCTGTCAGCTCAGACGGATGCATAAACAAAATATTTCTTTGCGTAGAAACATCTGCTGCGATCTAAACATTCTTTTTCCAAAGTACGCACTCAATTAAAATATCACTCCTGATGACAAAAAGAAGAGAGAGAGAGAGAGAGAGAGAGAGAAAAAAGAGAGAGATCCCTTTCAGCAACTCTATTTCTCAAGAGAACTTTGTTTGACAAAAAAGAAAAAGGGACTGAAAAAAAAAAAAAAAAACTTGAATCCGCGAATACGCCCAGACTCCACTGTTAACTGTCTTGTAGCCTCTCTCCATCCTTCTCGGGGGACTTGAGGTTTGAATACTGCCCATTTTATTTGTTGGACAACTTGGGAGCTGGGAGCCCAGGGCATTACCATGAGAATGCCGAGTGTTAGCCCTGAGCTGACAAAGCCACCCCTCCACCACGGCCACCCCCACCTCCCTCCTCCTCTGGGGCCCCTGCACTGATGGACACTCACTCGTAAACTGAAAGAATGCTTACCATTGTCTGACCCAAAGGGCTCCCCTGCCACCGCCACCACCACTGCCACCGCCTCCCCGCCCTCTGCACTACCAGCCCACCACCCAGTTGCCGCTCCAGCCATCTCCTCTCCCTCGTTTCGCCGCATCCCTCCCTAACCTTTTTCTCTTTGAAATTCTCTGTCAGAACATCCCTCTCCCTCCCGTCCTTCTCCTTTCCCTCTCCGGACCCGAAAAGAACTCTATTACTGCCTAACGCTGTCAGTCACAGCAACCACTGACAGACTGCTCAAAGCCGAACTGTATGTCTCCATCCTGCAAGTTGTGGACTTCTTGTTATATCGGATGGAGCTCAAAGACAGCCAGAGTGTGTGTTTTTGTTGGGTCAGATATTCTGAGACTTACGGTAAGTAGGCAGAACCTCCTTGTAGTTTGGCCCCTTCCCAGAAACAGTCCAATGGAGTGATTATCATACATGGGAATAGCTTGTCAATCATCTTAGATCAAGAAAAAAGGAGAAGAAAACAATTAAAACCAAATTAAGTGAGACATGTGCGCTTGAAGGAATGAAGCACATTTGTCAACTTACCCTTTCAATCATGACATTTTCTATAATAGGAACTCCTGATTTGTAGCATATTTTATTGAGATCCCACGATCTATGACAGACAAAACAATTCAAAGTTAGTTTTTCTATTTTTTTTCTTTTTCACAACGGATGCACGTAAATGTGAGAAAAAGCTCCACTCACTTTCCAAACAGCGACACCTGCACCTTGCTGGCTGACAGTGCGGCCTCCATGTGAACCAGCAAAGCCTCCTGCGTCAAAATATTCGTGCCCTCTTCTTTGGGTGTCTGGATAAGCATCTGCGAGGTAAACACCGACTCCTCTCCCTGCTTCTCTCTGGTGTAGCGAAGCTCTGTGCTCACCCGACTGCCAGCTAGAAAGAAACAGAAAGAAACAAATTGGTTGATATTCTTCATAGATTTAAAAAAGAGCACATTTGCAGCCTATTGCGGTTTTTTTCATACTATATGCGCACACTTACACAGGAACACACACACACGAATATATATGTATTGACCAACGCCCTTGGCCTTCACCAGTGTTGGTTTTGAAGGCACTTCACACGAGGCAGCGTCTGGCCAAGAGAAATGACTAATACGGCTTCTCATTGGTTCCTTCTGTGAAACAGATGTGCCCTTAGTTAGTAAGACCAGGCTTCTGATGCCCCAAAAATCCTTCTATCTTAGCTCTTGCAGCAGCAAATAGAGACTCAAACATCCTGTACCAGCAAGGGGGGAAAAAAACCCCATCCTTATCAGCATATGGCTTGCTTTTCTTGATAAAATTCAAGACTGTCTGCATGAAAATGCCCTTCTTCTAAGAAGTAAGGAGACCAAAAGACAAAGGACTATAACGATACACCGGAAGGTAAAGAAAGCTGAACACATTTAAGAGAAAAGAAGCTGTGATGAGCAAGGAAAATGTTAGGAGCAGCAAAAAAAAAAAAAAAAAAACACAGAGAGAAGAAAAGTAGAGCTATGCTGTGCTGTGTGGTAGACCCCAGCCCCCTAATTACAGGAGGTTGCCCTGAAAAGAGTTTGCCAGCCGGGGGGATCTGCCTCTGTGCCAAGTGGACATGAAACATGCCGCGCTGGATCACAGAGAGCCTGTCTGCCCCTCTCGCTGTCCCACTACATGACAACCCCAGAGAGAGAAAGACAAGGAGGGGAAGCGGGGGAGAGAGGGAAAAAAACGGGACCAGGAAGAGAAGTTTGGAAACAAGGGCTATCACCATCTTAAATGAGTTTTTTTTTTCACTCTTTTACTCACTTCCACTGTGCTTCCCTCAGTTGTGGCTTCACCCTATTGTTAAGCATCTCTATCTCTTTTCCTTTTAACATAAACTGATTTGCTATATCTTTCCATCTGTCTAGCTTTTGTGTCTTTTTTTTTTCTCTCTCTCTCTCTCTCATGTTCCCCGCACCTCCCCCCATCCCAGAACAGGCTGCTGTAATTGATGGGAAGAAAAGGAAAAACAAACTACGCAGCTAAAGTGTGAGATCAGGTTAGGTTTTCTTGCCCTTGGAGACACAACTCCAATATTTCTAGGCTTCACTTTCAAGGTTTTAATTATATTCGCAAACACTTGATCAACTTGTTTGGATTATGTCTTATTTCCATGTCGTGACAAAATTGGGCAAATGTGACTTTCAAAAGTCTTAGGTGAATGTATTCACACATTACCAATGAGGTGTGTGGTCAAGGACTTTTGGAGACACATCCGTTTGGGAAAGTTGCGAGTGTCAAAGAATCTTTTTCACACTGCCATGTATCTGTGCTACGAGGAAATATCCCACTGGGTGCAAATCTGTGATTCAACTCCACTTGGTGTCCATCCCCACAACAGCTTCCCAATCAAAAAACGGCTACGACAAAATGAAAGCTTTTCCATTTGCGGACCTCTTTCTGACATCTGTTAAAACCTTTTTTGACGTTTCGTATGTTAACCTCTGCAACACAGGGTTTTGATCCCAACAGGAACTGGGTGGCTTGGAGAGACTCTGGCTCTGTAATTACAGGCCTCCTGAAGTAAATTATAGCTATTTGTGTCTTGTTCCTCCCATCTGGACCACCCAGGCAGTCTGTCCTCTCCCTTGCTCTCCTTCTCGCCTTCGTTCCTCAGCCCCAGGTCCGGCCCCAAAACACCCGAACTCTGCAGAGTGTCACAGCGACCCTGCTTACTGCTGCTCGAGTAAGCTCAGCTCTACCTTTTCTTGTTTCTCTCATCCTTTTCTCCCCCTTTTTCTCCTTCTGAACTTCTCTGTCTCCTACTCGCTCTTTTTCACTCTCCCCCTACTCTCCCTTTCTACTCAGCCTCTGTTTCTAACAACCTTAAAGAGACAGCTCCCAGAAATGTTCCCACCCTGAGAAGAAAGCTCTTTTGAGTGTGGAAAACACGTGAGAAGTGTGATTTTATGGCGTTCACGACGAGGAAACATATATTTTTTTGTTTTTGTTGATCAAAAACAGAATAAAAAAAACATTTTAGACCATCCATAAAAGAAAGACAGCTATGTGGTGTTTTTAAAGGCTTATATATTTGAGGAAGCATGTTTGGTGCAAAATGAACTGTTAACTGGTTTTACCACCACAGATGCTTCCAAAGCAGTTTGGATACCAGGAAACTGAAAAGTGAAAGAAAACATCATAACAAACCCAATAAAACTGTGAAACAAGGTTTTCTACACTTTTATTTACAAATGTAGTGTGTTTTTACATATATCTACATGTCCTTTTCTCTCCATCTGATCCCCCAAAAAGCAAGAAATCCCTAAATCAGTGTGGCTTCTCACACCTAAGATAATGCCAGGATTTTATATACAGCTGATTCTGTTCTTCGCACCATCTATAGGCCTGATCCCAGTTGCAGGCCCTGCCAGGTCAGACCGGGCCACCTTCAAACTTCAGTGTGGTAGATTAGCTGGATTAGGGGGCCCCTGAAAGGCCCCACGCTGCTATGGAGGAAGACCCAAAACGAAGAGGGCTTAAAGGGACATGTATGGCTTTCACTTGCTATATATAGTTATTGTTTTTGCCTCATCTGTAAAGTGTGTCAACGAGAGAGGAAGTCTCTTGTTTGCCTTGAAATGAAAAATTTCAGAAAAATGTTGCTCATACCAACATAAAACTATTTAGTTGGCCTTCTATGCAACACCCTATACACTCACTTTAGGTATTTTCTATATTCAGAGCCACCAGAATCCAGACTGCCGACCAAGGAACACCCATGTACCCTGGCATTCCCCCAGCCAGGGCGCCTCCCAGCAGATGGGCTATTCCTCCATACAATCCTTCAGTATGGCGCTGCACTGAATACAGACCCTTTGTCATTCAACCCTTCAATTTCTTTCAAATGTTTCCCAACAAACAGCAGAATAAAAAAAAAAGGTCTTTTTTCCCTCAAATGGACCAAAACTTTCCCAGCACCGTAAAACAATGCCGGAACCGGCTGTGGGAGGGTGAGGCTTGGGGCGAGAAAGAGGAGCTGGCGTGTTGCTGTCTTACCTATAGAAATACACTGTATCTGTTCATGAGTCATCAAGGATACTATTGCTTTAGCAGAGAAGCTGCGTCAAATCAAGAAAGCAATAGTCATCATTCCTGCTTGATTGTAATTTGGCTACTCCACTTTTTACACCTATCCTGCAGAAACAGTATCCACAGCCAACACAACAGGAAAATCAGTTTCACTTACATTCTATTGAGATGTGCCAGTGGTGTTAGCCACCACACATAAATTTCCACCACGGCTGGCATTTAGGCACTTTCCATTTCCATATGTATAGGCTTGCCTCTGCTAATTATGCTAATCATGGGCAGTGTTGGCCACTGTGAAAAATAGTCACATTAGACACTCCACTGACCGCTAATACTGCTTAATGTGTGGTTGAAACATACATTCATCCCAGCCTGAAAAGCAAAATTTTTCCACGTTGCTGGTCTCATTCAGATGAGAAATGAATTTATTGATCCCAAGGAGGATTTCTTTTTATTTTCCTCCCCTTCCCAAGTACCAAGAAAATGTCCAGTCTCTGTCTCCATCACTCTCTCTTTACTTTTTATACTTTAGTGGTGTAAAGACAGACGCAAATGGTGCAAACTCTAAGGTGACTGGTGTCGCTTTATACCGTGCAAACCAGAGACAAAGGTTGCTCTTCAGCAAAAGGAGAAGGGGCGCCACAGTATTCTGATTGAGGTTTTATTATCCTGCTATCTAAGAAGATTGCATTCAGTGTGGCTGAGACTTGACCATCAACTGCCAAGTTGTTGCTTTTTAAGATTTGGCACCAAGACATAGTAAGTGACTGTATTTTTTGAGCTTCACAATTTATCAAATGCTGCAACGTTCAAGAGTGCAAAGAAAAAAAACAAAAAAAACAACAACAACAAAAAACACCATGGCAAAGGGTGGATTGTGTGCAAAACTTGATATACAATCGAAGATGCAAAAATACTCAATCATAGTGACTTTTATTTATAGATTATAGATTCAGGGATACTAACAACTGTGGACAGCGAGGGTTATATTGGGAGAATGAAAATGAAAGAGAAGAGGGAAGGAAAAGTGGATGTCAACATCATCACATTATAAAAAAAATTATATTCCAGTAGTAGAGTGCATCACTCCTTATTTCCAAGATGAACATTTGACTAGCCAATGAACGTGATCATTTTTGAGCTTGAGAAAATGACTGTAGAAAAAACTAAATGTAGGTGAGCATGTGTCTGTCATCTGCATATGTATATATTTCTGTTCCGAGTGTGTTTATTTGTTGGGGGGTGGTCCTGGTCTGTCTGCTGAAGCGTGCGTGCATGTGTGTTGGTGGCAGTGGATGCTGCTGAGAAATAGGATGGAGTGAGGTAGTGTTGAATTGAAGGATGGAAGGAAGGGGTGAAGTAAACATTTAGAAGTGACCCAGGTTGACTCTGGTCTTGTTTGTTCTCTCTACCAGTGAGGTCCCAGGCCCTGAACGCTGGGAGTTTATTTATCTAGCTGGGGCACCGCCGCACACTATTCACCTCCAATAATGCCTCATAGAGCTCCCTTTCTCTGTCTGAACTGGGCCGCTGTGTGCACTCCAATGAATTATAGCATTTACCTGCCACGCCGCTCCGAGGTTTGTTTAGAAAAACAGCTCCAAACTCCTGAAATGCCCACGTGTGCATTCGCTCATTTGCGTAAACCCAGACGTGTCTTTCTAAACCAGCTCTTTCTTTTTGATTCTCATCAAACTGGTTCTTGATCCTTGCATATCCCCTCTAATTTCACGTCGAGCTAAACTAGGACTCCATCCCTGGGCATTCACACCCATTTGGACTGCGGATAGTCTCTACCTCCCCCTCTTTCCACGCTGACTTTTTATGGGACATGTGGCGCGGCTGCAGGGCCCTGTCTTGCTACATTCATATTTGGACAGCTTGAGTCTGTGTATATGTCTGTCATGGCTCACCCAAACCCCGCCAAGAAAGATGAGTTTAGTTGATGTCAGAGTAAACACCGCCTCTTTTACGTGAAAGCCCGTTTCATTTTTTTTTTTTTTGTTGCCCTCCCCACTCGCCAATTTCTCTTTTCCAAACAAGTCTTTCAAACAGCGCATTGCACATTGAGAATAACAAGTAGAAAAGGCAAGTATCTAAACAAAGTAAGAAAAGAATGCACTGTGTTCTGGCAAACCTTTAGGCAAAAGAAAGCAATCCATGTGGCACAACTTGCTGGGAAATGAAGAGGTGCAGGAGACAGTCTCATACTTGATGTTTGTTTTAGAGAGTAAGAAAAAAAAATAGCAGCAAAAAGAGGGGAAAACGTGTGAGAAGGCCATAAACCTTCCACCCTGTTCCTGCCCCAACCCCCCTATTGTCTCTACTCATCCCTGTCTTCTTCCTGCACCTCTTTTTATGATCTTTCCTTTCTGCTTGGGAACAATAAAGACTGTTGACCAGGTCACAGCATCAGCTCAAACAAAATAGTATAAAAGTGGTACCAGAGTTCAAAGTTTAAACCTTGGGGATGCTTAGGGCCAAGCATCGGAATCGGCTAGTTTTCACTTGAACAGCGTTCAAGCACTTAACAGTGTGATTTTGTTCTAAATATTTGAAATAGACAAAAATAAAAATCAGATGAAATTTTAGGGGGACACATGCTTTGATGTATACATTCTTAATTTCTCAAATCAGAGCCAGTTGGTCAGAAAAAGAAGATCTGCAATCTGTATGGGCCAGGAAAAGCTGGAACATCTCTATTTTAAAAGTAAACTAAGGAAAAGAGACAGTCTTCATAATGGTTCATTTTAAAGCAAACTCTGTGAGACATAACCAGAATCCACTCGTAATCCTTCTTACAGACTAAACACCCTGATGCGGTGGCTTTTAAATCTCTCCTACCCGGGTGTGAGGGTGAAAATCAATCCTCCTACTTATGAGCTGCACGTTCATGTTGCAGATGCGCAACAACGCTTGAGTCAAACCACAAACATCTAAGTCACTAAAAGTAAGACGGCTAAAACCTTTCAAGGTTTCTGACACATCTCCCTGCGTCTAGCCCTCCTCGGACTCAAGCCGCTGTGCTTCACACCGTTTTGGTCCTGCAGAAAGGGAGGAAGCAATTAAAAAAGCCCCGGTGGCCTGACTTCACAGAGCAGGTAGTAACATAAACAGACGCGCTCACAGACACACACACACACACACTCACAAACGAAGGCAGGCGGACAGAAACGCAGCCGGGAACTCAGGCTGAACAAGTCTGAGGTGAGAAAGACGAGAAGTTTGTTTGTGTTGAAAAGTTTGAATATATGATGAGAACCACATGCACCTACAGCACATCCAGAGCGTCAGCGCTCGCAGAGTTGATTCCCAGCAAGGAAACCCTGAACAAATTAGGACAAATGTGATGAAACATGCATTTCCCTTTCAACTGCAACACAGTAAGCATCATTAAAACCCACTCAAAGAGACACAACAATATTTTGAGTCGCTTCAGTTGAAATCTGCCGTTTTATTGGTGAGCATGTCGGCCCCCACCCTCCACCACCTTCTCCAAACCCCTTCATGTTTTCTGGCTCACATACAATAGCGCATGAGTGTGTGTTGCTCTATGTTTGTGTGTGTGAAAGAGAAACAGAGAGAACTAACCTCTCCTTGTTACCGAACCACTTTACTCTCCATTGAGGCCCTAGCAGCTTTGTCAATGGGCTATTGGTGGAAACAAGGCAGGCAGAAACTTTAGAAACATGGCCACAGCCCCTTAAAGGCACAGCGTTCCCTTTCAGCCACAGCAGCAGCACCCCCTTCCTCTACTCCCCTCCTGGTTCAGCTCTCTGAATCCCGCAGCAAAACAACTGGCACACAAACAACCAAACATCTCCTTTAAGTGGGCAACTCGGCCAATTAGCTTGAGAGGTAATCCCAAAGATTTACACTAACCGAAGCAATTAGAAACTGTAGCAAATCTTTCTATTGTTCCCGTTTCTCTTCAGAAATGTACATTTCCCCTCCTTTAGCCTCAGACTGACACTTTTCTTCTAACTTTGACAGAGAAAGTTGGTTTTTTTTTTCTTCTTTTTAAAAAAAAAAAAAAAAGCATTGCCCCAGAGGAGCATATTCAAATTCTGGTGCAAGTCAAGCGTACAGGCTTCCCAACACTTGTCTCCCGACACCAAGCAGTGTGTGGGGGAGACTCCTCCGACACCTCCGCGCCGGGCCCTGTGGGAGCCGCCTGTTCCTGTCCTCCAGTGACATGGTGGGCTTAAAAAACCCTATAGAGTCTGTTTATATTCACCAACTGCTGTGGTGCTTTTAGAGTGTGCAAAACAGGTGGGTAAACTTCAGCTGCATTCACTTATAATTTTTTTTCCTTCTTCTTACTAGGAGGAGAGAAGGACGAGGGAGGAGAGAGGAGGAGGAGGAGGAGGCGGGGGTGGGGAGGTGGGGGATTCAGGGAGGTGGTGCCTGCTTGCCTCTTGTTGAATGGAATCCAAGAATAGTTAGGGACCACACAGGGAGCTGGAAGAGGGTGGGGGGGAGGGGTCAGAGCCCTCAAAGATGGCTAACCATTCACACAGTCCCATCTGCTGCGGGGATCAGGCCCAGCACAGAAAGCCTGAGGGTTTAAAAGGAATTTGGCCAGTGTGAAAAACTAAATGAGGCTGCCTTTGCCTCTGAAAATGAACTTATATCTAAAAAACATAGACGAATGAGAGGAGGAGGTTTTTATGAGGGAGCTTTCATGGTCAGAAGCAAAAGTATGTCCCTGCCTGACAGAAGCCTTTTTAAGTCGAGATGTCAGACTTCTGTTTTCAGGGAACGCTGCACAAACAAGTTGGGACACGAGTTCAAAGAAAAGGCTATCCTCATGGGGTATTACAATCAACAGTTCAACTCTGCACAAGAAAAAAACTAATTAGTGAAAAATATATTTTTTGATTCATCACAACCCTCAACTGTGCTTCTGCTCTTGTCAGATCAGCCAGTCAAACTAGAGACCCTGTCACCTAGCTCCCTCCCTCCCATGGCACCAAGGTGACACTAATATGGCCACCCTGCATCTTTTCACCAGCCATTATTGTCATTCAAACTCTTGTTAGTAAGAAAAATAAAAAAATTAAAAATGAGCTGGATCTGTCAGGCCTCAAAGCCCCCACAGCAGCTGTGGAACCTGAACCCAACAAACAACAGCACGAGTAAAGAATTTCACCATCATTCCTCCTCCAAGCCCTCTCTAAACAGGACATCTCTTGAAACTCACCTTCCACCCAGAGCTGCTCGATGTTGGTTTCGATGGCTGCCACCCGGAGTCCCACAGACAGAGCCCCGAACACCAAGAGTCCAATAAAGAGCACCTTCCCGCAGTGCCTCTGGATGTGGCAGCCCAGAGAGAACAGGAAGGCCTGGAACCTCGCCCGGATCCACAGAGGAGCTTTCTGACCTACTGCCTTTCCCTGGACGCCAGGCAGGATTGGAGGAGTTAAAGAGAGGGACATTATTACAGAGTTACAACATGAGTGCAAAATAATGCATCCTACAATGCTTGCATTCAAAAACAGGATCCAACATGAATACTTTAAATTGAGCTAAAGACTACAGGAGAATCCTGCATTTTATTTATTTATTTTTTTTGTTTTTTTTTTTTTTATCCATATACAGATACATTCTGGACAGGCTGGTATCAAGTGACAATTAGGATTGGGGGAAATAATTTCTATGTATTATATGTGACATAGGGATATGGTAAAGTTAAATAATTTATACTGGGTGCAAATTTTTAAGTTACAAAGACAGCTATGTTTTTTTTTAAATACATACAAGCAAAAGTGCATGAAACAAGCCTTATTCAGTGTGTGAGCAGAAGTGCAAACTAAAAAGCCTGCATACTGACAGAACAGCCAGTTACAAATGGGGTTCCAGCTAATAGAAACCATTCTGTTATGTGCCTTTCAACGCCTTCTCCCCAACAGTTTAACTTAAATCTGGCCCAATCCGCCTCATGGTGTGGGAGCCATTCGTTAGAAATGTCACTGCTGCTGCTGCTGCTGCTGCTGCTGCAGAGGACATAGCTTTCTGGTGTTGTGGTTTCTCTCAGCGGTGCTGAAACACGTCCAAGCATCCGGGCGGTCCAAAGATGCTTTGTCAGATCAAACTCAATCAGTGAATTCCTCTACAGGACCCACCGCATTTCCAAACAAACCCGGGGCCAGTGCGCTGCTCTCCGCTGGCTCGCGCAGAGCCGGGGAAAGCACGCACTGCGCGGCAGCAAAACAAGCCGCTCCGCTGCTGATTCGTCTCTGGGACAAACATGAATGAGACACTGCATGTCCACTCAAACAAGCCGCTGTTATCGCATAAGGCTGACTATTTTTCTAGTGAAGAACTAAGAGATATTAATATAACTTTTTTTTTTCTTTTACTCAGATCCTGATTCTACACTGGGAATTGAAAAGCCCAACTCTGGTTCACACACGCACTCTCAAAATCGGGTTCAGATGAAAGCGTTTTTTTTGTTGTTTTGTTTTTTTCATTTACATTTCCCGACTTGAATGAGAGTAAATGCCGCAACAGGCTGTGAGTGAAATGCATCACCTTTGAGATCTGTTTAAGTGCGAAAGCGGCATGGCAGTAGCTGGGTCTCCGCTGCAGGTCTGGGTGCGCAGGCGGCTGAGAGCGCGCATAACTCGGGGGTAAATCTCCAAAAACGCCGGACCCTGGGACCCCGCGATCCGAGGCCATAGTCCAAAGAGAGTGGTCGGGGCGCGGAGCGACGCGAAGGGGAATCGATGCTCGACGTTCAGTGAAGGCAGTAATCCGACATAGACGTGGAGCGCATCCAGCACCACCGGCGACAAACTCGCTTTTCTACTCTTCCACGGAGCCAAACAAGTCTCGAAACTCCATCCCGACATTATGCGCCGAAATCCGTATAGATCCTTCAGTCTTCATTCGTCCCGAGAGTTGGTGAAACTGCGTCTCAGAGAGGAGCCGGAGCAGTGATAGTAGTAGTAATAGTTGGAAAGCCTAACAGTCTGAGTCCGTCCGTGTCAAGTCTAACTCCGATCCCGTAGCGGTAACATTTGGAGAAGTTCGCCTCTCGGCAAATCCTGAAAAGGGAGGTTTGATGGAAAAGTGCTCCGGCTCCCATTGGCCAAGGAAGAGGCAAATTACTTTGCAAACATCGCCTATTATTAGCTGCTAAGCAACAGCTCACCAAAGTGGAGAGAGAGGGGGACCACCCAGGCTGCCGCTGCCTGGGCTGGTGGGGGGAGGTGGAGGAGGGCGGAGTGGGTGAGGGAGGGACGGAGGGAGGGAGGGACAGAGAGAGAGAGAGAGAGGGGAACTCTTTCAATAAACTCTTAGCGCGCGCGCACACGCACGCGCACGGTCCTCGTGCACGAGCCCTCCCCAGCTCGTCTAACCATTCCTTCCCAGCGACCTTCCAGTTCGCACATGCCGTCAATTGAAGAAGCATCGCCGAGCATCCACGCAAACGGTTCTCAGCTCCGCTGTTTCATCAGCGCAGGCCAATCAGCGAGAGAAGAAAAGTTAATTCAGCTTTTCAGACAGGAATGTAAACATGTGATTTCCCCCCCCCCCCCCCCCTCTCTTTCTCTCTCTCTACACGTTTTGTGTGTGGGAATTGCAGATCTTTTAACACTCTTCCTATCACTGTAGCCCATCTCATGTTTGAAAAGCCTCTCATTTGTGACAAAATCTTCAAATCAGGAGGTCTTTTTTTTTTTAGTCTGATCTGAGTCTTTGGTGTATGAGCAGTTTGCAACAGACAGCTGGGGTTAGTGCTTCAACAGCACCTTGCTAAAGGGCTCAGTCAGACCCCTGGAGACTTACAACATTTTGTACCTTATGCGTACTTTATGAGCAATCAATGTGTCAGAATCAGACAAAAGAGTGTTTGTGAATTGGAAGAAAAATCAGAGATTGTTTTCAGATATAGTAGCCAAATGAAAGTTAGAAATATTGGCATTTTTACCCATCGATTTTTGTAGAAGACACGAATGGAGAGCATCTTTAAAGATGAGTTTTTTAGATTTTCCATCACATTCTAAGCTGGACTCATGTCTGGACTTTGACTGGACCATTCTACCTCATTAAAAAAATGCTCTGATCTAACTTATTTCATTAAATACTATCATGCTGAAAGGTAAACCTCAATTCTAGTCTCAAGTCTTGTTGGACTTGAGTCTAGAACCGGTTTTCTTCTTGCGTTTACCTACATCCATATTCCCATCAGCTCTAACTAGTTTCTCTGTTGAAAAACAAGCATCTCCACAGGATGATGTTGCCATTGCTATGCATTACCAGAGAAATGTTCTCCTCAGGGTTGTATTCAGCATTTATTTTCTGCCACACATCATTTTTTGCAGATCAAAAGAAGATAAATACAAACTTACATCAAATTTATTTTTTCAATTTAAAAGATATTGAACTAAATATTCCTTCCATTTCACAGCTGTGTTCTACTCTGTGTAGGTCAATCACATAAATCTTCAATGATAAACACAGATTCTTTTAAAATGTCATTTTAACTCCTCTAAATGTTCAGGAGGTATCAATACTTTCAGAAGGCAATTTGCACCAATAACTAACTTTCCCTCTTGAGGCCAAAGTCGTCTACCCAAGAAAAATGTTACCGTTCTCCCCTGTAAAATGACAACAACAACAAAAAAGAAAGCAAAGTAGGTGTACCGGAGCAATTTTTCTACATACACATCCTTTTTGTCAACACCTCGGTGCTGCCTGGTCCAGTGTGACAGCTGTATCTCCAAGCAAGTTTTTGGAAAATGTCCATGTCTCACCATGCATGACTTCATAGGTTCAGAAAGCAGAGAGCAGTTCACCTCAGAAAGATACTGAAAGGAAGAAAGGAGGGAAAATAAGTAAAGAAAGAAAGGCGCAAAGGAAGGAGAGGAAGAAAGAAAAAAGGGAGAAAGAGAAAAAAAAAAGAAAGAATTCGCAAACCTGACTTACGTTTTAGTGCTCTGCTAATATGAGCCCCCATTGGCCCCACTCATGACTGTATGGGGGTGAAGAACAAACACAACCCGATTAGAGTCATTCTCTACCTAAACACCATTCTGAGCCGGCGTGAGGAACATTTGTCAGGCGGCTGGTGCTAATGTGGAGCCTTTTAGGTGCCAGTAAAACAATCTGAACTCAAATTGGAGCGATTTGCTGCATACACGGGTGACGCTGTGAGAAGCTGGGCTTTTCACCGAAAGCGATGGAGGCACCTGTAAGTTTAATGATGAACTCCCGGTTCCATCATCACTATTCGCAAAATAAAATAACACAGGCTTCAGTGTGGTGAAATGAGACGGATATACATTTAGATAAGATTATGCTGACTTTTTGCATTATTTCTGTTTCTACTTCTTCACAAAGTGCTTCACAGAGGAACTCAAAAATGCTACATTTTTATCTGTATTTTTTCCAGAATTTGCAATTTTCTTTTTTTTTTTGTTACCTTTATTCTTTTGTTTTATTTAGGATTAGTTCTGTATAAGGAGCAAAGTGTGCATCCATCAGTTTCTTTGTCAAGTAGTTATTTACTTGACAAAAAAAATGCTTTTTTGAAAAAGCATTTTACAATATGATAGCAAACAAATCCCTTTCATTTTTAATGGGTTTAATCAAAATATATCCAACTGTAGTTAAATTTCTTTTGTCCCCATTGAAAAAGTTGCAGAGTCCATCATTTGTCACATTTAATGAAAAAATCCTGGTGCGCAAACCAGCATCAATAATCATTGAAAATATGGGGATGGATCTGAATAATGCTTCAGTTGCTGCCATTTACAGCATTTACACAAAGGGCCAGATCAAGATTGATTGTGGCCCTGGGTACAGCTTCATTTGGGGGCCCATTTCCAGATAAGCCTATAGCGGTTACAAGTGGAGAGAACAACCACAGGAAATTTGTTGTCATTGAAAGGAAACATTTACAGAAAATATGATTTTAGCTCACACACATTTGGCAGATAATAGTGAATTAGCTCTTTTATTATAACTTTAAAATAGTGAAAGGGATGAACTAATATTTAAATCTTTTTCTCCCCTTGTGTTCCTCATTGTCCTGTGATGCCCTGGGCAGAAAGCCTCATTGCCCACATTTAAGATCACAACTGTCAACTGATAAATTTATGTATCTTATTACAATTAGGCAAAATTTAGCTCACTGTTACTGTTAAAGTGGCTTTGTAAGAAAAAGGACAGTTTTACAACATTATTCTATGATTATTGTAATTTCACATTTCTAATTGTCTTTAAGTTAGAAAGACAATTTTATTTGCTATATATTTTTTCGTTATTAAAGTTGATACAATAAATCAAGATTACATATCAGATATTATTGCTGCCCAACAACTCCATGCTGACAGTCACACAACGACAAATACACCCTCCGTCTTTAGACCCAATGAATTTTCCAGTGTGGCACTGACCAGCCAGTGGCTTCTCTTGGACTGGGTTGGGTCAGGCTGAGTGGTAGAGGCAAACAGGCAGCTGGAAATGGGAGCTAATGTGGAATGTGAGGAATTGGACTGTGTGGTAAGGGGCCCCTTCAAGCCTAACAAACTCAGGGAGGTCCAAGGCCTGGTCTAGAGGCCTTGGATAAATAAACCATGGGAGATGACCATGCGCTGTGTAGATATCTGCCATCACACCTCCCTAGCCTCCAAACACAAACCCTTAATCCGTCCTTCACCTCTCCACATCCTTTGTCCCATATATTCTCCCTCTCTCCCAACTTCCTCTGTTTATCCCCTCCCCTGCCTCATCCTCTTCTATTTTACTCTTCTTTTAGCATTCGAACCTTTCCTATTATGCTCATCTCCCTTTTTTCTCATTCTGCTACCCCGTTGTTCCCTCTCCCTCCGCACAATCTCTATTTGTCCATTTCGTCTCTCCCCAGTGAACTCACCCATCCAGTCACTCATCCATGCTTGAACTGCTGTCTGTCGCGGGTTTTGTATTCGCTATAAGCAGAGTTATGGAACTGCTTTGGCACTCAGCCGCCTCCCAGCAGCCGGGTCGCTGATTGTTCAGGCCCAGAAAGTGTTTATTTAACACAGAAGCAGCGAGATTGCTCATGACTGCATTTCTTCTGTTGCTTTCAGAAGAGCTATGTAATAGGGGGAAAAGTTTTTAAATGACTCACAAACAAGGAAGTTTTAGGGAACATCGTTGTAAATTTGATCTTCCAAAGAAATCCTGTAAAAGTACTACATTTATAGTATAATATTCTAATAAGAATATTGTAGAAAAGTTCATTTAAAAAAAGCTTATCTTAGAATATTAGAAAAGAAACATCATCAAACCCATCAAGAAAAAGAGTTGATGATATTTAAGATTTAAAAAATTGAAGCTCTCCACCACCTCCTTGCTGACATGACAGCCGTGTTGGGATGGGGTGGCCATCCATCACTGATCCACTACTGCGTCCATCTGGACCATTCAGGGTTGCACAACAGTCATCAGTGAACAATTCTGTTTGAAAATGAATCTTCATGTTCGGCTGGACCCAGTGTGACCATTTCTGCTTGTGAGCTCTGGTTAGGGGCCCAGTAGTCAGTTCATGCACTGCAAGCCTCTGGAGGATCCTCCACCTGGAGGTTTGAGGCACCAGCAGCTTCAAATAACTGTTTGCTGCTTTGTAAGGGCATTTTAACAGCTGCTCTCTTAATCCCATGAATTTGTCGAACAGAAACCTTCCTCATTACGCCTTTATCTGCACAAACCCATCTTTGTTCTGAATCAGCCACAAATCTCTTCAGAGTACGATAACGTTTCAGTTTTCATTAAATATTTGATGTTTTCATACCTTGTCATACGGCACTACACTATCTGATGATTTTCATCAGCAGTGATCCTCTCTTTCCCATATTGCTTGAAACCTGTGGCCTGCTTAATAATGTGGAACATCCTTCTGAAGTAGATTTCCTTTAATTGAGCTCACCAGACCAACTAATCAACCAGCTCTCTGAAATTAATTATAGTGATTCAAAGGGCCATGACACACAATGCCATCTATAAATTTAATAGCACAACAAAAAATGTAATCACTTTAATCCAATTTGCATAATAATTTGGAACACAGTGTAAGTATCTAAACTTTGGAAGAAAAGGAATAAAGGAGAAAA